ATCTGGGGAGTGATCGATCTGCTTTAAAACTAAACACATTTTTCACATTTTCATAAATTCATTTAGAAAACGGGGTTTTTTTTATGCTTGACTTTTTTTATCAAATTTTTTCTACAAGGGTCTCTCTTTCCCACAGCTAGGGGCAAGACGTGATCCACAGAGGCCAGTGAAGGATTTTCCTGGTTTTTTTCATAACATTTCCTACACCACATCTTTTTCCTGGGTTAAAGGACTAAAAAATAAATAACCAATTTAAATTTCCATTAATTAATTCGATCTGAAAATTTTATATGTCTTTTTGGAATAACTTGCTTTTTTTTCAAGCAAATTTTAGCTCTACTTTTTTTAAATAAACCTGAAAAAAAAACGAGTTTTTTACAAAACTTCAAAATCCACTATCTTCTACAGTGAAAAAAAAAAATTTTTCCCCCCAGTTAATGCAAGGGGCTGTTTTTCATAGCAGTTGGCTGTAATTCACAAACACTGTTTAATATAGAAATTTTGGTACAAGAATGGATACAATACCGACAAGAGAAATTTAAATACATGTTAAATATCTGGGTTTTTATTTATTTGAACATGACAACAGAAGTCAAGGAAAATACGGGGTTAAGTGTAACATGCCAAATCCCTTGTATGCAATTATGGGCAGGCAAAAAATTAATTTAAAGAAAACTAACAATGATATATTCAGTGTAAACATTGTTGTAAACAGTTAACAATTTAACACAAATAATTTAAAAGAAGGTATATGGTTTTTTACGTGTTGCTGTACATTCAGAAAATGGAGTTTTCTGTTAGGTAAATTAATTAAAAATAACAAATTCGTTTGGGGTTTATAGAAAAATTTATTAGTTTTTGGTTGTGGGGAGGATTTTTAAGAACTACAGTTTTTTTTATACACCAGAGTGAATTCCAATTTTTTGGCCTTTCAGCGCATTGAGTCTTTGCAAGTGTGGAGGGCACGGGGAAAATTTCAAAGAGTGACGTGCCTTGTGTTTGGCATGTGCTCTTTTGAGATCGACACCATGCCTAACCCTTCAGGGGGGGGTGGGTGCCTGACCCCGAGCCTTTACTCAAAACTGTCTTTCCCATTGCCCCCTTGGGGCGGGGAGGCGACCAAGAGGCCACTTTGGCTAGGCCTGGGGAGAGTGGCCCCAAAGATGAGGATACTTGTGCCTCCCCCAGGGGAACTTGGGCCAGACACCCAGTAAATTTTTATTCCTTTTTAAACTCATGTACAATTTAAATTTGTTTTTGTCACACCACTACTACTCAAACTACACCACTATGAACATCGAAATGGCCCTCCTAGATTCACCCACTCTACCCCTTTATACACCCTCTGTTCCCATGTTTTTTTGAAATGGCTTAAAAGCTCCGGAGAGGAAACGTTGCCACAAAAATGTCACATTATTTTGCACTTGGCCCTTTTTACTTTACAATTTGGGAAATTCTCCCAACTTTATTACAAAGGGGAAAGGGCGTAAGGAGGGAGGAGTTGAGGTATCAGTCCCCAACCGGGAGTCGATGTTTCATTTCCATCGACTCCAGGTTGAGGAGATTACCTCAATCCTCCTCTCCTTACCCCTTCCCTCTTTTTTTTGGACGATGAACCACTGTGTGGCGAAACGTTTCCTGAAAAAAGGTTTCCCAATCTGCAAAAATTTTCCAATTTTTCAACAAGTCCTCCCTGTTATACTACACAAAGCACATTACAGAGAGTGAACACGAAACAACCGCCTTTTTACATCTATATATTTGTCCAACCCTTTTTTTTTAGTTACCCAAGTAATATCTTTTATACCCTTTTCTCATGTACGAATTAATTGCTCTACCATATTGTATATTTTTTGTCACTACCACTACACTACTACCACTATAACTCGAAATGGTACCTCACTAGTTTTGCCCCTCACCCACCTTTATATACCCTCTGGTCCTGTATTGACTTTGGGTTTCAAATTTAATTGGATAAGTACATGAGGGGAGGGGTTGGATTTGAGGGGACTTTCACATCAGACTTTTTTCTTGGGGAGCATTGAAAATTAGGTTTGGTCCAATGTTTTTAGGGGATAATTGTAAAGGACCTCCATATGGGGCCCAAAAGGGGTTTCCCCGCAGTGTTTTCCCCTTTCTATTTCTTTTAGGGGGTGGGTTGGATTTGAGTGGACTTTTTTACATCAGAGCTTATTTTTTGGGACAATGAAAAAAGGGTTGGTCAAAGTTTGTTAGTGGGATGAATTTTAAAGGACCGAACACAAAAAGGATACAATACCGACAGGGTTGGTAGGGAAGACACATAGGCAACAGTTAGGGACTTTATTCCGAAACGTTTCGCCTACCAAGCTTCCCAGTCGAATACAGAAAGTAGGGGAACAGTAGAAAGACGAGTAATCATCCATCACCCCTTTAAAATCGTAGAATTTGAGGTTTTCAGCCCGGCCCGGGAGGGTGATGGGCTGATTACATCGTCTCCACTGTTCCTGCCACTTTCTGTATTCGACTGAGGAAGCCTTGTTAGGCAAACGTTTCATAAAGTGCCTAACTGTTTCCTAGTGTCTACCTACCCAAACCCGTAAAAGACCTGCCTATATGGGGCCAAAAGGCCGCTGCAGTGTTCCTCCTTTCTTTTTTTCTTAATGTTCTTTTTAAGACGATGAAACATCCATCACCCCTTTAAAGTCGTAGAATTTGAGGTTGTCAGTCCCCAGCCTGGAGAAGTTTAGTTCCATATCTTCACATCTCTACTGTTCCGCCACTTTCGTATTTGACTGAAAAAACCTACGTGGGCGAAAAGTTTTGGAAAAAGTTGCCAGTTTTACCTACCAACCTTCGTATTTTAACCATTTTGATGTTTATCTTTTTTCAGACACTGCAACATATGGCCTCTGGGCAGAAAACACTAAAACTAAAAATAAAAAGGGAAACCCGAGAAGCCCGGGCCCTCACTCCTTTTCAAATTTACCCACTAAAAAACTTTACCCCCCCATTTTAAGCCCCCGAAAAATGCTGATTCAAGCCCCCCAAATAACCCTCCCCCTAACTTTTCCCAAACCCAAATTTAAAAACCCAAAGTTGCCCCAATAACCCAACTTAAATTTTCCCCCCATCAACTACCCCATTTAAACCAATAAAATTTCCCAATGTCCTTTCTAAACTAAACTTTCTAAATTTAACCCTTTGGGTTTTTCTCTTGGAGAAATCCCAAGGGCCTGTTAATTCCCCTTTATTTAAAATTCTTCCCTTTAAAACTTGTAGGTCCCCTATTCTTTTAAAAGTTTGGTAACTTTAAAAGGCTCTTTTCTTTATAAGAAGATTTCAAGCTAGATTAATTAGTCATCCCCTAATTTTCAACAATTTAGTCCACCCGAAAAATGGAAAACCAGAATTAAATTCAAAAATGGTGGGCCTTTCTAAAATGATTTTAAAGCGGTATGACCCTTTTGGCCCTGTTGTTTTAACTTTTGATAAAATCCCAGAACTATTTTCCTTATTACGTAAGCTTTTAGCATTGAGTTTGGGTTTAAAGGTTTGCTTCCAAAACCCCCAATCCTTTTTCCAATTGTTGGCTTTTCCCCACATTTTTAACTTATAATCTAGGGTTATGGACATCCCAGTTAGAAACCTTCATTTTATTAAAAATTGGACAAACCCTTTAAGAAAGTTTATTAAGGACCCCCCACTCTTTTCATACAATACATCTGCATTTCCCCCCCACAGTATTTAAGTCTCCGATTCGTTGTCTTTAATAGTTCCTAACTTGGAACAACCCCAGGCTGAGGGGCCACAACCCAAATTCTCGCCTTCAGGGTAGGTATTACATGTCCAATCTCACTGTTTTTGTGTTTTGTATTATAAAAGCCTATTTTAGGAGAAACTTTCGGAATAAATTTCCTAACGTTGCCAGTGCCCCTTACCACCCAACCGTCGGTATGTATACCGATGCTCCAAAAAAATGATGGACTGACCACATCGCCCAGGTTTGGGGATGTAATTTCCCCCTGTTTTCACTTTTTGTAAAGGGGTTTTTTAAAACACATATAAAATTGGGGCTTTATTTTGAAATTTTTTTTTTTCCCCCACAAGTAGGCTTTTTCCCTATACAGAAAAGTTAAGGAGAAGGAATTGAAACGTGTAAACACCCTCAAACCCTCAAGTCCCCGCTTCTATAACTTTTTTGAACTGAAAAAGAAGAAAATTTTAAGGAAAGTTTTTTATAAAAAAAAGAACCTTTTAACTGTTGCATTGGTCTTACCCAACCCTTGGTTTTTTTATTTTAAACCTTTAAGTCAAATTTATGACTGAATGAGCCAATGGTGGTAAAAATTTTTCAATAAAAAACCCCAAGAATCATAGGTTTAAATTTTTCCAATGGTTATTAATTTTTTTCTTGGGACATGGAAGGGGGGGCCCCAAATTTTTTCTTAGGGGGTTTTTGGAAAGACTTGCCCCCCACGAATCCCTGGGGTTTCCCTTTTTTTTAAATTCTTTTCCCCAAATTTTCGGATCACCAATAATAATCATTTTGCCAAGACATCAAGCTAAATTAGGGGAGAAGAATTTCCTAATCTTTTTTTGTTTTAAAAATGGGTTTTTGGGGCAAATCCCAAAAAATTAAAAAAGGTTTTTTTTTAAGACCCCCCAAACTTCCTGTTTAAAACGGTCTTGGTGGCGGGTTTTTGTATTTTACATCTTTTTTCTTAGTATTTTTCAGTTCCCTTATTTTCGACCCAAACTATTACAAGGTCATGCTCCTTTTTCGCAAAACCAAAAATAAAAGAGAAGGGTTTTTTAAAAACTTAAAAAAACACAAGTGAAAAAAAAATCCCATTATTAAAAATTTTTGAAGTCGTTTTTGAAATTATATATATAAATATATAAGAACCCTAATTTTTAAAGGAGTGAACCGATAAGCCAGCGGAAGGCTTCGGTCAGATGACCTAAAGCTTAAATGGCAAGTCAGACCTTATCTAACCTATCTAATCTTTGTGTTTTAGGAATCAAAATGTAGAAAAATCGACGAGAAAAAGCTAAAAGCGGATGATAAAAAAGAAATGTCCGATGACTCGATGACCCAATCAAAAAATACAAAAAAGCGCAAAAGTAAGTATTGTATTATCTCCATGAATATTTCAACAAATATTTTTGTCAATGATAAATATTTCAAATTTTATATCATGTCTTATAAATTATTTTGTGGCATTTAAATGTTCTGTAAATTTCAATTTTTTGACATGTTATCACATTATTGCAGATAAAAAGATAAAATGGAGGAAGCTCGACATTACGGAGATGGAAGACGGGTTTAGATGTGCTGTAGAACAGGAATTAGAATCGTGTCATCTACAGTCAACAAACAGTGACTTAAAAGGTCGCAGCGGCTGTCGAGGAGGTAGTAACCATATCAGTGAAAGCATCTCTGTGGATTATAAGGTATGGAAACTGTTTCTCATAAGTGAAATGTATTGTATCGATGACAAATTTTAATAACATGCACTTATATTGTAACCCTCTAATGCGGATTTCCGTCTTTGTTTACTAGGTTGCAGATTATGACCTGCATGATCAGTGCATGAAGTTTTATGCTCCATCTGCAGGATTCTTTCACGAGCCGGATGACCTGAGTAAAGACGTCCTTGAAGATCAGATTAAGAAACAAGTGTGAGTATCATTCAGGGATAATTTTTCTCAATTCTGTTTATCATATTTTATATTTGCTTAGGAAAAAAATAGACAAACGTTAGCCTCACGACATTTTCTTTTTCAGGGAATACTATTTTAGCGAGGAGAACTTGACAGACGATATCTTCATGAGGAGGAATATGTCCAAAGATGGTTATATACCTGCGTCCCTCATTGCCTCATTTAATCGGATGCAACAGCTAACTCAAAATGTGAAGTTCATTGTTGATGCTTGCAAGACTTCAAAGGAACTTGAAGTTAAAAATGATATCTGGGTGAGTGATCGATCTGCTTTAATCTCAACACATTTTTCACATGTTCATAAATTCATTTAGTAACTGGGTTTCTTATGCTTGACATTTTTATCAAATTTTCTACAATGGCTCTCATCTTTCGTCCACAGCTACGGGCAAGACGTGATCCAGCTAGATGGCCAGTGAAGGACGTTCCTGGTGCTCTTCAGTAACATTTCCTACACCTACATCATTTTCTCGGTTCAAGGACTAAATTAATAAATAACCAAGTTAATTTCACATTAATTAATTCGATCTGATAAATTTATATGTCATATTTGGAATAACATTGCTGTCTTTCATAGCTAATTTTAGCTCTACTTTTTTTAAATAAACCTGAGAAAAAAGCGAGTTTATTACAAAACTTCAAAATCCACTATCTTCTACATGTGCAAAAAAAATATTTCCCCAGTTAATGCAAGGTGGGCTGTTTTGTCATAGTCAGTTGGCTGTAAGTGCACAAAACACTGATTATAGTATGAGAATTTGGTACAAGAATGGTATACAATACCGACAAGATGAAATTAAGATACATGTTCAATATCTGGGTATTCATTTATTTATTTGAACATGACACACAGAAGTGCAAGGAAATACAGTGGTTAAGTGTAACATGCCAAAGTCCCTTGTATGCAGAGTTATGGGCAGGCTTAAAATTAACTTAAGAATAACTAAGCAATGATATATTCAGTGATAAACATTGTTGTAAACAGTTAACAATTTAACACAAATGAGTATTTCAAAGATAGGTCATATGGTCTTTTACTGTGTTGCTGTACATTCAGAAGAATGGAGTATTCTGTTAGGTAATGTAATTAAAAATAACAAAGTTCGATTGGGTTTATGAGATACAATTATTCAGTATTTGGTTGTGGGTGAGTGATTTTTAAGAAACATACAGTTTCTTTTATATTCACCAGTAGTGAATTCCAGATTTTTGGGCCTTTCATGCGCATTGAGTCTTTGCATAGTGTGAGATGGACACGAGGAATATCAAAGAGTGATCTGTGCCTTGTGTTATGGTCATGTGCTCTGTTGAGATCGACACCATGCCTAACCCTTCTAGGGTAGGGTAGGTGCCTGAGCCCGAGCCTTTAGCTCATAAGACTGTCATTCCCATTTGCCCCCTTGGGGCGGGGATGGCAGACCAGAGAGGCCTAGCTTGTGGCTAGGCCTGGGGACAGTTGGTCCCGAAGATGAGGAGGTACTTGTGCCTCCTCCATGGGAGACTTAGGTCTCAGACACTCCCTAAAGAGGGAGCCAAAGCCGGGCCACCACTTGGAAAAAGCCCGGGCAGGGAGAATACCGGCAAATCTTTAATAAAATAAAAATGCTCTGTTGAGGTTGGTAAGGAGACGTTTGAGAGGAGGGTTTATGTAGTAGGTACAATAATAAGTATTGATGTTTTGTATGGTGAGTAGGTTTAGAGTTTTGAATATTGGTGGAGTGTGCTGCCTGTAGTGGGAATTTATCATCATTCTGACTGCAGCCTTTTATGGGTAATTAATGGTCTGAGATGGTTTATTGTTGTTGAGCCCCATGCACAAATTCCATAGGTGAGATAGGGGTATATAAGTTAGTGATATAGGGCCAGGAGGGCTGACTGTGGAACATAGTACCGTATCTTCGATAGTATGCCTACGGTCTTGGAAATTTGTTGTATTTGTGTTTGAAATTTGAGTCTATTATCAAGTGTGGATTCCTAAGAATTTTCCCTCTGTGAGCTTTGTGATAGGTGATCCATTTATCATTATGTTAAGAGGGACATCTGTAGCTCTGTTACCAAACTGAATGAAGTAGGTTTTGTTAATGTTAAGAGTAAGTTTGATAGTCCTCATCCAGGTAGATATTTTCTGTAATTCGGTATTCACATTATTATTATAATCAAAAAGAAGAGGTAAGCCACAAGGGCTATACAGCGCTGCTCGGTATTTACAGTATTGGCTAGCATGACTGGGCTTGGGTGAGAGAAGACGTATGTAGTGTCATCTGCAAATAGTGTGGGTTTGGGTAGTTGCGATGCATTTGGTAGGTCATTTATGTAAACGAGAAAGTGAAGAGGGCCAAGAACACTTCCCTGTGGGACACCAACTGTAATTGGCTTTGCGGAAGAGTTTGCTCCATTTGTGTACACACATTGGCTTCTCTGCTGTGGTATGACTTTAGGTAGTTGAGGGAGTGCCCTCTTATACCATAGTGTGACAATTTTATGCGGAGCAAGTCATGGTCAACTGTATCGAAGGCTTTCCGTAAATCAATGAAGATTCCCAGTGGGACTTCTTTTTTCTCTAGTGCAGTGTATATTTGTTCTAGCATGTGTATATCATCAATAGTATTTTTATTAGGCCTGAACCCGAATATATTCGCTTATGAATTAATTTTTCTAAGATTTTAGAGGGTTTAAGTTGGATATTGGCCTATAGTTATTGAAGTCTGCTTGGTCTCCTGCTTTACAATTTACTCCTAAAAAAAAAAACTAGTTCACATTAGCTCAACAGCACACTGCTACTAATGAGTTAAGCAAAATAAATCATCAGGGAGGCACCATGACATACACACCCACCTCTTCACTTCTGCCTGGTAGACTAATTACCAGCAGGCAAAACACCATACAGTACTCTCGCATAAACAGGCCTCTGCATTACTAGGGCCTTACAAATAACATAAACTACTTTTAGCATACAAATAAAACTCCCAGTCACCTACTTCGCCATCCAGTGGTTTTATCAACATAAATTCAAGGAAGTTAAGACACATGTGCAACATCTAATTTCTTTATTGTAGACGCTTCGCCATCCAGTGGCTATATCAATACAGATTCTAGGACATAATTAGAAGACACTCCCAAGACAGGGAGTCAAGGCCGGATCACCACTACCTGGCAAAGACTCGGGCCGGGAGAGTACCGGCGAATAAAAAAAGAAGAGGGTTTTGGAGGGAAGGGAGACACCATTCCCATGAGCCCTCCTAGGGCGGGGAAGGTGCCAGAGCAGTCTTCCACCTGCAGCTCACAAGACTGCCATTCCCACCTAGCTTCTCCCTACGAGCCCCGTCAGGGTGGGGGCTGGGGCCTGGGGTCAGTTGGTCCCAAATCACCACCGGGTCACCATCTGGAAAAGACCCGGGCCGGGAGAGTACCCGCGAATCAAGGAGGGTTCTGGAAGTTCATAGCCATTCGTGGATGCTGTGAATGGGTTCCACTACTTTGGTCACGGTACGTGAACATACCAATTGTTCCAAGAATTTGATCCTCGTACATAAGTGTTGGTTTAGAAAAAAACACGTAAACAAACAGTAGGACATATTTATTAGAAAACGTTTCAGTCCTGGGACCTTGATCACTTCTAACATACAGAGGTTGAAAGATATATTTAGGCGATAAAGAGAGCAGTGTGGTGGAACTTCTGTTAACCCCTGCACTAACTAGGTCATTGTTTGCCAAAAGTCAGAGTGATGATCAGTTGGACAAAGCAGCTGAGAGACCAGGGTTAACCAAGAGCTCTTTTGCAGTGTCTCAGTGTTGTGGTAACAAGGAAGTGTCTCCTGCAACGATGAAATGTCCCAAGATGAAAAAACCTTTTCAGTCCATTTTTGCACCGGATTCTAGTTCTCTTGGTACAATTTTCAAAAAGAAAATGAAATTGAGGAAGAGTCACAATTTTACCACTGATGATATTTCGTTACCATCTCATTGCTGTTTGGAGAAAAAGTTGCATTGTCAGGATTTGCAAACAGAAATTTCTGAAACAAAATACTCAAGCCTACAGAAATATGCAGAAGATAAGGAAATGTATTTTCCAGTTGCCACTAAAAATGCAGAAACATCAAAAAAAGGTGAAATCCAGAGAGTATATCAGGTTAATCAACCCATGATTTTCTCAGCCTCAGTTACTGGTGAAGGAAATAGGGAATATTTACACCAGAGGGTCTTAACTAATAGTATAAAAGATATGCCATTATTGGTAAATAATAGCACTCCTTTAAAAAGACCCAAAAATATTGAAAAAGGTAATTCAGGGGACCTTATTAAGTATTTCTTCAGTCATAGAGTCATCAGGAAGTGGAATAGTCTAGCAAATTATGGAGTGGAGGCAGGAACCATACATAGCTTTAAGACGAGGTATGACAAAGATCAGGGAGCAGAGAGAGAGAGAGAGGACCTAGTAGCGATCAGTGAAGAGGCGGTGCCAGGAGCTAAGCCTCGACTCCTGCAACCACAATTGAGTACACACACACACAACACACACACACACACACACACACACACACACACACAGGCACACACACACAGACACACACACACACACACACAGACAAACACGCACAAACACAGACAAACACGCACAAACACAGACAAACACGCACAAACACACACACTAGCAATATCGCAGTCTAAACCACTTTACCATTTTTTCGAGAACTGGACCCAAAACTCTCCCTCTCCTCGCCACCGAAAAAATGAGGCTCCTACGAAAGATCCACTTCCGGGCCCGAGCCAGCCATCAAATTTAACATTAATTAAAACTCTGCTCCAGATATATATTGGTCTTCACCCTGGGCAATACCAGCAGCCTATTCACGGCCTGGTTTTCAATCTAACTCAGAGGGTCAGCTATAAAAACACACATACACACACATACGCACAGACGGACACACACACACACACACACACACACACACACACACACACACACACACACACACACACACACACACACACACACGACGGAAGGGATTGTCAGGGGTATCCCACTTGGCACACGATATGAAACTAATGAGGATACAAGGGGACGAGGATCGGATAAGCCTACAAGAAGAACTGGACAGGTTGCAAGTCTGCTCCGACAAATGGCTCCTGGAGTTTAACTGCAGCAATTGCAAAGTTACGAAGCTTGGGGAAGGACAAAAAAGACCGCAGACGGGGTGCAGCCTAAGATTATTTCTATTATATATTACAACTATGATTTAATGATTTTGCCATTTGCACATAAACACTTTCGTTCTCTGTAAGTGGTTAAATACGTCTATTTTGTCACTCATGAGAAATTTACAACTAATTTTTTGCAAACATTACTTGAATATTGTTACATTCTCATGTTTAATTGTGTTTCTTCC